CCCTGGCCGGGGTCTCTGTCACCCTTCGGTGTTAGCGAAACGGGAGAGGGGCGGCAGGGCATTTCACCGCCGTTCCCTCGCTGGGTTTCGTGTCGCTGGCCCCGCCGCCGGGCTTAGGGTTCGAGCAATGCGCCGCTTTTTGGCTAAAAACCACCCGTTTTCTTCTTGCAGGAATTTCATGGTGACGGGCTTGCAGGATATCGACAAATGCCGGCAGCAGCTTCACGATATCAGCGTGCCCTTGGAAGTTTTTGAGTAAGTGACTTTGTTTCTGGGAGGGGAGGTGCTGTGGTCGGTGTGATTTGAGGTAGCGTGGCTTTGCAGCGTTGATCTGTTCCCTGAGGACGGCTTGTTTCTTAAACTCCATCTTCTGAATGCCTCACGAGAATGCGAGCAGGCAGAAGGAGGTAAGAAGTACCTTCAGCCTGTGAGAAGGCAGGAGGGTAAGAGGAGTGATAAATTCTACACCTGCTTTCACATCTTTTTTTGGTTTTAATTTTTATTGAATTTACATACGTAGGCAATAATGCAGATTCTGCTGATTTAGTAAGTGAGTTTCATTTTGGAAATATGCTTCTACACTTCTACATCAGGATTTAAAGTTGCAGGTGAAAATAAATTAGGCCAGTACTTAGGTGTTTAGTTTCAATAGTGGCAATCTTCTTGTTGGCAGAGAATTAGAAAGCAAAATCATGAATTTAGAGGGAGAGCTATGGAAGACAGCTTGTACAATATAGCTGACAACTTAATTTACTGGTGTTTCTTGTAAGTCCAAATGTCGCTGGTTTGCTGTATTCTAATGTATTACTGACTATACAGGACTCTCTTAGTTTGGGCTTTCACTCTGTAAAATGGAAGACAGCTTGTACAATATAGCTGACAATTTACTGGTGTTTCTTCTATGTCCAAATGTCACTAGTTTGCTGTATTCTAGTGTATTACTGACTATACAGGACTCTTAGTTTGGGCTTTCACTCTATCTGTAAGTCTGTGATGACAATCTTAAAATGTTCTGTATTCTTTATTCAGTGATGGAATTTCCTTTGTCAGGCACTTATATTGCAAAGCGAAAATACACTTTAGGTGTATTTGCTGATACAGGTGTGTTAATTTTTACTCTTTACTATGGTGTGTACGCTTCCTCCTCATCCTCGAATTGCTGGCTGACATATTCCAACATGCTCATTGCTCACCTTGTACTAAATAAGCTACTTTATTGTTAGTCCACTTTTAATTGCTTGGGAAAGGACCATCTTTTTTCATTCATGTGTACTTATTAGCCTGTGAGGAGCTGAGTAGCTGTATTTTTTGTTTGCTTGTAATACCTTTCTCAAAGCTCCAGGCTTTCTGGAAACAAAGATTGAACGCGGTGTACCAGGACAGCTGTTTGCTGGACATGGCCTAATCCTCCTTGAGCTGTCTTTCGAAAGTGGCTGAGTTAAACTGTGTTTTTTAAAATGCACATTTCAGATAATAGTGGTAACAAAAAGCCAGCAAGGTGAATACTTCTGTAGCTTGGAGAACATCCTCGTGGGTATGCGAGCATTTAGATGGGATCTTTTCTGTTTTCAGATACATAGATCAAGGCCGCAATCCTCAGCTTTACACTAAAGAGTGTCTGGAGCGAGCTTTGGCTAAAAATGAGCAAGTAAAAGGAAAAATTGACACAATGAAGGTAAACTAGAAATGATGAACGTACTAATGTAATAATGTATTTGGTAGGTTTTTACTTTTCTGTAAATATTTGGGGGGGTTTTCACTTGTGCAGTTATGGAATTCCCTTATTAGGTGATTTGTGGTAGGAATTGCTCTGTGTACGTGTGCATTAATTGGTGCTAACATAGCCTCCTCTGGGAAGGAAACTTGTAATTCTTCTACCAGTTGGAGATGCAGATGTCACTATGATTTTATTTTCGTCAAAGTTGTTTGTAGCATTACAGATCTTTTTGTTTTGTTTCACTTTGAATGCTAGTGAGTGCCTCACACTGTTACAGATCTGTAACTGCCATGTGTGTTAACTTAGAAATAAGTGAAACAGAAGGGGTATTTTTCCAGCCTTGAATGGATCTTAGAGTATTAAAATGTCAAACGTGCTATGTTAGCATCTTTATACAGTTACTTAAAATGTATGGCAGTGTTCTTATGAACTTGCACTTTTACCTAATATGAACCTAAGCCTTCTGCTGTACTGTAACTGCTGGAATTACTGCTCAAAAACACAGTCAGAAAAGGAAGTTTAGTGAGATTTGAGAAAGGGCTGTTTCTGTTTCAGAACACTCTTTGGCTGAACTTAAAGTGAGTGTGGAGGGTGGCAATTTGTACTGCAGAACATAGGCATATCTCCATATGGTCTGAGCTTCTCTTTCTTTTGATGTGCTCTGTGCTCATAAAAGTTGTAGGAAGAATTACGTATTTCTAAGCCAGGTGTGAGCTCCTTTTTGGAGGTGGAGGGGATTCTGTATCAAATCAAGAGGACGTGTCTATTGCCGGCGTCGCATAATGAGGTCAGACAGATGCTGATGCACCAGAGTTTACCAGAGAGGTCCAACTACTTGGTGTTTCTTAGGTGAAAATGCTAGTTAGTTTATAGGAAATTAAAAGCATTGTAGTTTGCCCGGTGCTTTTCCAACGGATTTCACTTAAGCATTTTCTGTGAATTTTGTAAACATAACTTTCTGGCTTTGTGTGTGTGGTTTTGAGGGGTTTTTTGGGTACCATTCTCTTAGGTTACTGAAGTGTAGAACTGTGGTGTATACAAACATTTCTGCTCGTCAGATAACATTGCTTGATGAAATCTAAATGAATTGTGCAGGTGAAGTTTGTACGTTTTTTGTTTCTTTCCAGAAATTTAAAAGTCTGTTAATTCAAGAACTGACAAAAGTGTTTCCAGAAGACATGGCAAAGTACAAAGCTATTCGAGGAGAAGATCCTCCCCCTTAAGCTGGCCTTTGATAGCTCTAAAAGTGTCAATTCCATATACTGACATCGCTCTGTAAAAACATTGGTTGGAGAGGGGGGAAGTCCAAGCTGTCGTAACAACTGTACTGCAAGTGGCAGTGATGGACTGTAAAGGAGCTCGATGCTTGGCGGTTCTGAAGCTACTGAATCTTTCTGAAGACTCTTACTCAAAGGTTGCAGCTGGAACTTCCCATGGTGATCTGTTCTCCTTTCCTGAAAGGTTTTGGGGATGTAATTGGCTACAGGTTATCTATACAAAGCATTTCCCACAGAGTACGTTCCCGGAGTAGAAAATCATGGGGTTTTTTTTGTCTTCTGAAAAGTGTGCTCCAGGGTTGTGGGCTCATCTGTTTTTAAGAGAAATGTATTTATCGCACCTGATCATTTTTCATTTGTAAACTGCCTTTTTTTGTATTACAGTACAAACTTGACTGCTTTCCTCTTGCCAAATTCTACTGAACAGGAGCCTGTCAAGGGCTGCAGTTCTTATGTGTCATAATGAGTTACAGCCCAGAAAACCTTCAGATACTCTTGTTTTGTTCTGTGAGCTGCAGTGCAGTGGCTGAGGATATAGAAAGTGAGCGTGTTCAGGGCCTAGCTCCTCAACAATGTTAATATTTTGTATAGTATTTAATGTAAGCTTTTGTTTAATTCTGTTCATTTTTCTGTAAGCAGGTTGTTGAATAAAAATTTGAAAAATAAACAATTCTAATGTTGTTCTGCTGTATGCTACTCTTTGGAGAATGAACCGAAAGCTGTGAAAATTCGCAATTTCCTCAGTCTCAGTGTTAGAAATAAAATGTGTATCAAAACTTGGCTGTTAAAAGTTTATATTGGAAAATAATGTCAACTTGGTATTTTGTTTTTGTGGGGAACACTTCCCTTTTAGTACCCGAAGCAGGAGATTTTGGGGATCAGTGATTGTCACTTGAAGCGTTTCTGACCAGCTGCGAACTGCCCTGTGAAATCTCCCGCTGGTCATAGGCAAGGTCGTCTCATCGTAAACCAGCGCACTGGGTTCCCTGCCGGGGCAGGGGGTTGGGCACTGGAAACCAGCCTTGCTGTAAGGGCCGCAGAGCGATGGTCAAGTTTTCTTGTTGGGGAAGTGGAGTTTCCCTCGGAAGGGTGTTTTTCACAAGACATTGGCATAGTTGATCCTGTCTTAAAGCAGGGGGAGAAACAAGATGACTTCTTGAGGTTTGTTCCAGCCCTTTTTTCACCATAGGATTTTGCCATTCAGGGAAAAAAAATCCATATGGATTAGCGTAAAGTATTTCTTGGGAGATAGCAGTGACGGAGAGCGAGGGCAGCGAACTGGAATTGTAAGGCAGGAGGCAGTGACGGAGAGCGAGGGCAGCGAACTGGAGTTGTAAGGCGGGAAACTTGATGGACACGAGGAGTAATTTCTTCCCACTGAGACTGGCTTAGCACTAGAACAGGTTCTCGGAGTGGCTGCAGAATTGCTGTCCTGAGAGATTCAGTTTGAAGTTTGTTCAGAATCGGGTTTGCATTGAACCAAAGTTGAGGCCTCTGAGGGGATTCCGTCCGTGTCATGTGCTCTCGCTACTCAGTTCTAAGCCCACTGCATTTAGTGGGCATCTCGGTCCCTGCTTCCGGCTCCTCACGCTAACTATGCTTTCCCTCTTGGTAACTTTAGAGATGTTGATGTTTTTACATAAAAGCAAGGTTTTCAACTGGGAGAGACCCTATCTTTTTGATTCTTTAATAAAAATATCAAATACTAAGTTTTAGATTCTGCTTCCTCCTTTGATTCAATTCCTTTGCTGTGATGCTATTTAAAAACTTCTAGCTTATAATTTTTGGTTTAAACACCGTGTTCTAAAATGTAGTCCTTATTTTCAAATGAGTTTGTACACATATGGTTACTTTGAATTTTGGGCTTCGTGTATGAATTTATAACGGTGTCACCCAGTGTTCAGCTGGTGCTGTGAAAATAGCGTCCCGAGGATTTGCATCGTAGGTACTTGTGGAGCTTGGTGTCACCTACGTGTCTATCAGTTTATATGCTGACTGGCTCTGTGTGATCAGATCAGAGCTAATGAGCTTAATGTGGTATGGGTTTTTTT